CACTTGCCCGAGGTGGGCAGGGACTGCTCTCCAAACAGCCCCCTTCCCACAGCCCTCACCTCTGTGGCTTGGCTTTGCTCCTGCTCCATTTTCGGGCTGACTGTCTGTGCCCTCCACGGTCAGGGAAACCAGCAGAATCTACATGCACATCTCAGAAGAAGGCTGGATGCGTTTTTAAGGTACAGGCATGAGCAGAATGGGAGCTTATCATGACCAAGGCACACAAAATACCTCAAGAGTGGGCAACACAATGAGCACACCTGGCCTCCCCCTTTGCGACTTACTGTCACAAGAGCATCAGCGTTCTTCCAGGCACTACAAGCACGAGCACTGTGCCTGCACAACTAATGCCTGAGAACAGGCAGGATCCTTCGTGGTCTCCTTCATTCTTCCATGCCAGCAGAGCAACACAGGGCTGTCCAACACAAGGGATTTAATAGCAAGGCAAAACGAAACAGCAAAGGAAATGGCACAGTCGTATGTTTTTCAGTTGTTGGAGAAGGAAACTGATGAAATCGGGAAATTAAACACCTAAGCAGTAGAACAATCCTGCTTTGAGACGGTACTTTTCAGTTTTCTGAAGATGAACTCCTGGGACGTACTGCAGTCAGGGCAGGCAACAATACTGCTTGGGCTCAGCTGGTGGCAGCTGGCTGCCCCCGTGCTGGTGGTTCAGCTGCAAGTTTATTACTATCAGCTCTTCAGAGAGAAGTTACCTACTCCAAGAGAAACAAAAGATAGGCAACTGCTACACAGGTGGCAGGCCGAGACAGTTTAGAGCAAATCCATCAAGGCAGCAGAAATGGTGCTTCATCTACGGCCTCAGAGGGTGGTGCTGCCTGATGTTAAAAGAAGCAGCTCAAAACCGTATAAATCTAATGAAATGCAGCCAAAAAAATAGTATCTTTCCTTTAAGATAAGCTAATTAATGCTCTTAAACCAGCCTATTCCGAGAAAATCTTCTGATTAAACACTTGCTCTTTAAGAACCACAAGAAAACAGGTAAGGAGGAAGGAGCAGATTACACTGTAACTTAAACAGCTCTGATGGGCTGCGGAAGGGGACAGGACACACGCAGCAGCTTGACAAATCTGCTAGTCTGCTTGGGTGGTGCACTAACAGCATCATTAACACCACGCTCTAGTCTCTGGTAACACACACTATTCTCCATTAATGCTACCAGGTGTTGTGGTTTGAATCATTCGTAAAATGAACTCCCTGGTGCTGATCTGCAGATTTTCTTTGGATATTGTTATAGCTTCTCTCCTGAACAAATTCTGGGCAATGGGATGAGCCCAGTGAACAGAGGGGAGCCTTACATAGGAGGAATGTCATTAAGAATACATTTTTTTTTTTTAATTTCATGCACTGGATTTTGAGCTGGGGTAAACTCTTAGGTCTTCATTAGCTTCTGCTGAGCTTTAATGTTTACACAAGCTGGTGGCATTATAATTTCAAACACTTCTTCAGTCATTTCTACTTATGGCAAAAGCCTGCAGGAAAGCATGCTGGAGATGGAGCATGCCGTCAAAAAAGGCAGATTCCTTGCATACAGATGAGTTTTCATCTCACAAAAACTTTAAGGGCCTGTGGCTAGGATGCAAAAAAGGAAGCACAACTCTCCAAAGCTTAGTATGCTTAGTATAAGGATTCACTCTAAGGAAGCAAATCCGTCTTTAAAGAAGTTGATGAAATAAAGATAAAACTTGGGAGAACAACATTTAAGGAAAAAACTTGTTCCTGTTCTGCTGAATATATCTCCAGCAGAAGTCAGACTAAGTCCACCAATTCATTTCCTAGAGGATCCAAATCCTGGACATGACCCTAAATCTTAATTTTGGAAGACCATAAAGTTTTCCCATGTTTCCTGAAAGCTTTGTAGTCAAGACGACAGCCAACATCTTAGTTCAAGCAATAACCACCCTTTAGGTGGCACAGTGCCTACATTTACCTCTCATCTTTATGGAAGGAAAAGACATACTCCTCCTTCTCTGTCTGCCTTAAAACCTGAACAAGGATAAGCTAGGGAGAACCCCTCTTCCAGGAGTCAATCATACAGGACTGTACCTGACAAGATACTGAAGACACTCAAAGCTGTCTTTTGGCAGAGGGGGACACATTCAGTCACGCTGGACTGCAACAAAGCATGAGGCAAAGCAGCTCAAGTTGCTAAGGCATCCTTGCTGGTTGCTATGGCATGTGTACTGTTATGAATGTTTGGTTCTGGTTTATTGCTTTTCAAAGGATTGGCTTAGCTTGTGTAACAAACTAATCTATTAGCCCTTAGAAATAAGCTCCACTTTTTCCTTTGGCTCCTCCTCCTCTCATCTGAAATGGGTGACATTTATCTTTGTTGTCCAGTCTTGGACCGTTTTGCACTTCTCTTCTTGCACATTTTTGTGCTTCTGCAAAGCAGAGGATTTAAAATGGTTGAGAGTAACCCATGCAGTAATCCATTTGTATTTATTATCACTTCTGTACAGCAAATAAGAGTCCTCCTGAGATGTGCAACAGTTTGCTATAAAAAGCAAATGCTTTAAAAAGTATAAAATTACATATGATCAGTGCAGTTTTGCTCATAGGTATTTTCAATAAAATGATTATACAGACCACCAAACAGATTTTGTGGATTTCCCTGGAGTGACACTGAACCCCATCTGAACGCAAGTGGGCTGCCTCCCGCTAAAAGCTGTCATTTTTCTGAGGTACAAACCCATTCTGAAAAGCAATGGCATCATGTGGCTCCTTGTTTATTGTGCCTCATTGTTTCCATATAAAAACAGCTCAGTTCAGAAGCAAAAAGATTATGTTTTTTTTAAAAAAAACATCCTAAGATCCATGTAAACTCAGCCAATCTCACGGCACTCGAGCCTGAGCTCTTCCACACATGATGACAGTGGTTATACAGGTCCTCACTACACCTGCGTGCATCCCCCATTTCCCTCCGACAGGCCCACGTCTGTACAGTTGCTTCCACCTCCGTGGGGCTCTGTCTGGAGCCCCTCTCCTCTGCCAGCCAGGCCGGCCAGGCTGAGCCCTCACCATGGCATGGCTCCCCGGCACAGCTCCGCTCCCGCTCCCCCATGCGCCCCGGCTGACAATGCTGCTCATGCCAGCTTGCCCCGCATGCCCAGCAACCCCCCCTTGCCCCAACGCCTCGCTGACGCTTCAGCAAGTGTGGTCATACAACGTGGGATTTTAAAATATAAATAAGATCACTGAAATTACTGGAAGCTACCAACACCAGTACGAAACCTTACACAAGACAGAAAGCCCTAATTATAGTTTCTGAACCTATGAAGTCATCTAATACACATATGCTCCTCTACACTGCAAGGAGAAAAAATGGAGACACGCAGTACTTATTACCATCCTCATAAGAAAGAAAGAAAACTAGACTTTGGAAGCTTTTGGAAACTCGTAATTTAGACAAATCTGCATAAAACCAGAAAATCAGCTCTACTTTATTTATTTTTAAAGAGGTGATACAAAATCATGAGCACTTCGGGTATAATTATAAAAGCAATATTATTTGTTCGTTCCACAGTGCCATGTAGCATTGTGAGCCTTCATAGTGTTTGTTTTTATTGATTTTCTGGATCAAAGTTACTTAACCTAAATCTGAAAACACATGATATTTCTTCTAAATGCCAAAAATGAGGAATCTACTTCAGGCGAGGAAGGAAGATGGCACACTTACTGGCACACGTGTCACCAGCAAATGACTACTTCAATCAGAAAACAAGAACAAAATCAGGCTCCTTCTTTCTCTTCTAGCACTGTACACCCTATGCAAAATCAACAGCCATAAAAAGTACTAACAATCTTCATGCATATGTGAAGGACGTGGCTGCAACCATAAATAGTTAGGGGGAAAAAATACAGAGAAAGCAAACACCATTTTTACTGAATAATTTCTTAAAAGAGAACTGCATTCTCTAATACATCTTGGACAATGCAGAGCCTATTGGTAATGACAGAATATTGTACTCAATTATGGGGGAAGGATTTTAAAATATTTCAACCCTATTTGGCTATAAATTATTTTAACTTTTACATTATTTTGCAGTTCCGTGATAAAAAGCCTTCTTATTTGCTTGAGACAAGACTTCAGAAAGCTTTAGACAGAGCAGTTTTTCTTAAATTAGCTTGAAAATTCAGTTTCCAGGGCAACATACGCAGGTCTTCATGCATCAACATTTCTTTGCACCATTTTTATAAATGTGGTTGCTTGCTAGAATGTGATAAAATACTTTTTAAATACAGTAAACTATTTTGATCACTTTGATCCTTTTTCTTTCGCCTTTGCAAACAGCTGACTATTCTTTCTTTTCAGGAGAATTATATCAATAAAACTGTCAAATTGTTTGACTTCAGAGAAGCTTTATCCCAGAAAAGCCTGCAGTGACATCCATGCGTGTAATACCTTTCTACCAGTACTTGCCTGTTTATGTAACATTTCAGTATGCATCCCTTACTCATTGTCCCTTTTCTTACTCTCCTTCAACTTTGTAAGTAGGAGACATGACTTAGGGTCCACGGCACGCTGAGAGTCTGCTGGCTTGTACGTTAAAATTAACCTGAATGCCTGTTCCACAGCAGCAATGTGAAACTTCCTGATTGCCCACCTTGCACATCGAGACCCTCAGCGAGTTCCTCACACCTGCCAATAAATACAAGTACTACTAAAGAAATACAGTTAACCACGCATCTACCTATTTTCTTCTCCATTCTAAAAGGGGGGGGGGATTAAATCCCTTAATGATGATTATCGTTTCCCCTGCACGTGTGCCTGAGAGGCACTCCGCATCACTGCAGTGATGCTACTGAAACAGGTACCTGAAGCCACCAGCAGCAGGCTGTGCATGTTTCCTCCTTCGACTTTAACAGGGGTCAGATCAGCCCCTTGCTGCCGCACGGCATCACAGTGGAGCGGGCAGCACGTTAAATAGTTACCACATCAGGACTGTCTTAGGAAAAGAAGACTGAATGACCGTTACCTGCACATTTTACTCCCTGAGCAATGAGGCCCCACATAAAGTTGGCGCAGTATTCACACCAGTGCGGGCCCCTGAACGTGTGCACCTGCAAGACAGTAGCAGAAAGGAAAATTACAGAAAATGACCCAACTTTTTCACAGACATCAATATCAATGCATCCAAACAAGGCAGAATTCCTCTTCTTTGAAGGCACCACATGCAGTCGCTGGAAGCTTCCCTTTACCACTGCAGGAAAGGAAGAAACAAATGTAAGAAAGATTTAACTGTGAAGACTCTTGCAGACCCATGGGAAACAGGAGCTCTCCATCGCGAGCCATCCAGCGCAGCAGGTCCTGGTCTGGGGGGTCTCTCCCAGACCAAGTGGGGCAGAGGAGCAGTGGCAGGGCGCAGCGCTTCTCCCACCTCTCAGCATTCCTCTGTCTCGGCAAGATTTTAGCCACGAGGCGAGGCTTTTGCAGCCACCCTGCAAGAGTTCACCTCTCAATTTGAAATGTCTTCTGCCCTGCCCTCCTGTCCATAAGGTCCTGTGTGAAATGCAGGTGGGGCTGCAAGATTCTGCCTCTGGCGGAGGGAGTCCTGCCAGGTAAAAATACCAACGCTATACAGAAACGCCACAAACACACTTAGGGGCTTTACAGTTTAGAATTACTGTAAAAGGACATTATCTTCAGACATATTGAAAATCCAAATGAATCTAGTAAATGGAAACAGGAATCCACTCAACCTGTAAAAAAATTCAAAGCTAAGGAAATAAAAAAAAAAACCAACACTGCTTCCAATCCCAGATCATACGCTTGCTACAAATCCTGCAGCTACCATTAGCTGTTTCTGATTTCATTCTGCTAAAGTTCCTGCTGTAGGAAACCACAGGCTGCTTTGCAGAGAAAATCATCACGTCCTTTGCCAGCGTAAAAGACTTCGAGGCTCTATACAGAACAGACAAGCTGACAAAAAAAATCAGTAACTGGTGATCATAGAGAAAGGAAATTTGCAGTGAAATGTAATAAAAACGCTTTAGGCTTAGGTCACTCGGTTCTCCAGAGTTCCTGTGTGTGTATGGAGCAGGCAGGAGCCTCACGGGCATGTGCTGCCTAGTTGGATCAGCATGGACCAGGAGAGGAGGAGCTGGCTGGGATGTGCGTGCCCAACACCCGCACAGCGCCCTGGCTACAGGCAGCAAAACGCGAAGCAACTCAACCAAGCGTCCCCTGCGCCACTGGCTTGTCCAGCAGCTGGATCCTGGGTGACACCTCAAACGAGGGACCACCACGAGCAGCACCCAGCAGCTCGCACCACGTGTCCGCGTCAGCTGCGGGAAGGCCCGTGGCCCACCCAGCAGCAGCGAGGCAGACGGCTGTGCCAGCCTGGAAAGCCACTCCTGAATTCGGCACGTGATCCACACGCGCACCCGCGCGAAGCTGAGCTTATTGTTGCCTCCGGCCCCACGCTGCTGAGCATCTCTGGGGGAAGCGCGATGGTGCGAAGCGTCCTGTTTGCCCAGCACTGGCACAGGCTTCACTCCCCCCACGCCGTGGTCCGCACCCACTCCCACACATCTGGGAAAGGTGCGACGGGCTCCAACAGCCCCCTTCTCCCCACAGCTCCAGCTGCCTGCTGCGAAGCAAATGATGACAAGGCCATCGGCAGCTGTAATCCCCATTTTCTCTTCTTTCCTCTCACCAGAAAGAGATTTTTCACACCTTCCTCTCCATTACCCACCTGCGCTGCCCACATCCTCTTGGCTTTCTTCCTCAGCCTTGTCTTTTTTTCTGGCTCTTTGGCAGCTTTCCCTTCCCAGAATATGCACATTCTAATATCCTCAAGAAAAATGCTGTTCTTTAATGCCTGCAGGACTAACAGAACTTTTTTTCTGCGGGGGAAAAGAAAGCTTCCTTTCAGTTACCATCTTTTTTTTTTTTTTGGTCAAAGGAATATTCCTCCCAAAACACTTATTTAAAGTATTTGTCAAAATTTCTGTTGAAGAAAATTAAAAAAAAAAAAAAGATACTTCAAAAGTTTGAGCAAAACACGATCTTTTTTCAGAATCCTTCTCAGTTTTATAAGAGAATCCCACCCCTCCCAGTATTTCTAATTGTAAAGGAGGAGGAATTTTGTCTTGTTCCTTGAAATGCTGACATTTTAGCTTCTTTCCTTATGCAGAATAAAACAAATTCCAACACATTCGTATTTGTTGCTAAATAAAAAGAATGATACTATCCTGTGCACTTGCTCATTTCAATTCACCCAATTCACTGAACATGCCATTTGCTGAAATGTTTGTAACCCTTTCCTTGGATTGCAGAGTCCTATCCTGGCCTCTCCAGGGCCACCTCCAGTGCTGATACTCACCAAACCTCAGTGCCCAATCTCTAACTGGCTGTTGTTCAACAGTGAACATCCCTCCTTCTTGGCATCTTGCTCTCCACCATGGTCTGCATGTTTCCACCTGCTCCTGACTCTTCCTAGAAACCCTTCTGCAGGGTCTATCACATTCCAAATCTGCCACTCCAACCCTTTGCCACCCTTCATTATCATTTTTGTTAGTGTGATTCTTTTTTTGAATGAGCTCAGTTTCTCTTATAGCAATTATCCACCTAGATACAAAAAAAGTCACCTTTCTACTACAGCCAGTTCCCCTGACTTTATCCTGGCTCACCCCTCAGACAAGTGTACATGACTCATCAACTTACAAATGACAAGGACAAAACAGACTTTCCTCTTCCCTACCAACACCGCATGTATGGGTCACCCTTCACAAGATCAAGATTGATTCTGCCCTTCGGGATCATTGTCTCAGCATCATTAGCACCGTTTTCTTGTCCACGCATCCATGCTTCATGCAAATACTGAAGTGCCTTTCCATCTCATCAGTTAAGAAACTAACTTCTCTGTTGGAAGATTTATCCAGAGCCTGCTCAGTTTTATGCTGCCCCACCCAAATTACTCTTTCTGATCCAATATTCTGATTGAAAACTCAAATTAAAACCAGAGGGTAGGTTTTTCTACGTTCCATAGTGCTATGTCCTTTATGTGACGCGCAACAGGGAGGTTCTCTGGCAGTACTGACTAGAAGGCCCAAAGGCCACAACGTCCTTCCGTCCCTGGCGCACCCAACCCCACCGGATCTGCTCTGAAGCCTCTCTTGGGGTTTCTAAGCAGTGCTGTCCTTTGCCGGAGCTCAGTGGTGTCAGAGTGCTAATCTTCCCACTGCCACGGGGCGGAACTGGACATCTAACACTGCACGGGTCTGAATACGCATCACCTCTGGAAATGAAATCAGGCACAGTAAGTGATGCCAGAAAACAGCAAAAAAATTGGTCTTCTGAGGTCCGAACAGCCTCTAATCCTGCAGAGTGAGACCTGGCAGTACGCGGAAAAGAAACACATTTGCATCCCTTTGCTAGTGCAAGAGCCAGCACCTGCAAACAATACTGCATTTATTACTCGACACTGTTTAATATAGCATTCTGATTTTTATATTTAATTCCCCATTCTAAAAATCTGCCAAGCGACTTGCTTGTTTTCAAAACTAAAACATGCTTTCCAGAAAAATTTCTCAAAACACACCCAGCAGAATCCCAGAGATCCTGACTTAAATTACAAGGGGTTTCTCTCCCCTTATAAAAAGAGCATCTGCCATATGCACATTTTACTGTCTTATAAAATGTGAGAGAGCAGGATTGCCAACTGTGGCTTTGTATCTCCCAACCCTTCCATTTTCACTCCCGCCTCAAAAATCTTTTTCTCTCTCTCTCCATACGGCTTCAACTGCGAGTGATTTTTTTAAGGATGTAGAAAATGAGTAGAAGAAGATCAACTGGTTTTAATCTTCATTTATAAAATCCCAGGGGAAACATTTGATTTAAAAGAAAAATCTAGATAATTTTAAAGGAAAATACCTGCTTCAAAAACTACCTAAAATCCTACCACTAAGCTGTCCTGCAAGTCTGAGGTAAGCGGAGAGCCTCATGTCGGGCTTACACCTAGGCATTTCTATGCTGAACTCTCCTGCAACATCAGCAAGGTATAATAAACATTTAACTACTGTGATATTACGTAGGAGGACAGTTTTTTGTCTAGTCTTGAAAGACATTTTCTTATACAGAGGGAAAAACAGCTTAACTCTTGTGATTAATAACTGTGTTACTGAATTGCATTTATTTTTGTTTTGCATTTAATTAAAATATTTCTTAGAAAAAGAGACAAAGTCTTAGGAGAACCAAATAAGAAAATGGTCCGGTGGCTCTGACAACAGGTTATACCACAAGCTGTGAACTCCTCAACCAGATCTCCTCACATTATTTCTCAGGCTCTGTAAAGGTCACTATTGAAGTTAGTTACCCGCGTATCTCGTAACTCCACTTATTTTTCACGCTTTTGGTTTTTACTAGACAGTTGTTCAGCTAGCTCTGATTGCCGTCTGAAAACCAAGAATGAGCCAGCAGATAATTAGTACTCGTAACTGGGAGACTTACACTGTATCACTTGTCAAGGCAAGAAGGAACAGAATGAGGAAATATCAACAAAGTTCTGTGCAAACGTGATATCAAAGAACATGATGGATCAGCAGAGCTTTAACAAAGCTACTCCTGGGAAGAAAGTAAGTCTGGATCTGACAAACTATGGATATGCAAAATCAACACCAAACAGAGAGAACAGAAGTCTCTGTGACAGTGTACTAAAAAGCCTTCCCAGTTGTGAGGCTGCTGCCACGGTCTCTCTGAACGCCTGCTCCGTCAGGACCCCTGCTCCATACAGAGCAGCGTAGCTTCTTGCACGGCCCTCCACGCTGAACTGCTGGCGAGAATAATGGGGTTTGGAAAATCCAGGCACTACCATCTGTGTTGTGACGAAATACATCAACTTGAAAAAGGATGGACAAAACTGCTGCTGATCGAGCAGAGTCCTACGCTCTGGGTAGAAGACTTGTTGGTGCTTGAGGAGGAGGCCAAGCCGACTGGGGACTGAATAAATGGCTCACATCCAGCATTCGTACCGCCTGGTGCTCCAAAGGTACAGTGCTGCTGGCTACACTATCTTCCAAACAAACTCCCAAGGATGATGGGACACTGCTGATGAAGGCTG